TTTTCTGAAAAAAGTGGTTTATTGTGTTCTTAAACAAAGTTATTCAATTCACTCTACAGGCATATTGTGTGGCGCCATTGTAAGCTCCTCGGGCCCAGGTGCGGCCCTTATCCATTCACCTAAAATAACCCTATGAATGTCAAAAATACCTTTATTTACTTCTTTTTTTATCGCATTGTTACCAAAACGTGTTAATAAACAATAGGGAAAGTATAGAGGAAAACTGTGTGTAGCTGCACTTAAAAATATTATCCCGACCCTCTTTAGGATTATGTTATATGAACTCTAATAACTTATATACAACTAGCGACTCGCTTTCGCCCCGCTCGGGTTCGTCCCTACTTACATTTTAACGTTTAATATAGATTTGTCAGAGATATTCTCCCGCAGTAAAAAGTATCCTATATGTCGACCTGGATATCATCATACCAAATTTCATCAAAAGCCCTCTAGCGGTTTTTCCGTGATGCGGTCATAGACAGACAAACAAGAATTCTAAAAACTATAGATTCGGCCTCTGTATCGATAATAATGTCCATTTCAATAAGATTTTCAAAAAAATATTTAATGTATATACATATTCGTATATTAGTAAAATTATAGGATAAAATTCTCTAAAATATAGACAATAAAATAATGAACGTGAAGACACTAAATAATAAGCATGAGGGGGGGGGGGTCTTCTTTGACTTCTAGCACTTGCGAGTATGTACGTATGAATATAATACTAGCGGCTCACCCTCGCTTCGCTCGGGTTCGCCTCTAGAAAAACAAATCCAAATCTATCCCTCAGAATCAGAAACCGTACATTTTTCCGGGATAAAAAGTAGCCTATGTGTTATTATATTGTGTTTAGTAAAGTTTCAGTCAATGCTACTGAACAGAGAAGGAATAGATAGATATATTTAGTTAGCTTAACAAATGTTCAATGTGATTCTTTAAATTGGCATAACTTTTTTATTTATGAACTGATTGACATGCAACAAACACTAAATGTTAAGTGTAGCTTACCACAATATATTAGTGACTACCACTAAACCACATTTAAATCGGATAAGCCGTTTCTGAGATTAGCGTGCACAAACGCACAGACAATCGGATAAAGAGACAAACCGATAAAGAGACAAACACAAACAGACAAAAATCATTGTTTTGGGTGCTATTTGCGTTGATAAAAGTCCCAATAATATTTTTCTTATATAACTTCCATGTACAAACAGCGATCCGTAACATTTTTATTATATGTATAGAAGATATAGATAAAGTCAAAGCAAACTCAAAATAATTATGAGGATATTAAAATGTACTAATGTGCCAAATTAAAACTTACCCCGACCTTGACTTGACCTTGATTCCTAACTCGACTATAGTCAAACAAAACAATAGTAAGCTTTTTAATATCAAGGGAACTTTCACTATATAAACTTTATATTTAAACCAACATACACACATATATATATATATATATATACACAGATATTTACCTGATGTAACTGAACAGCACTCTCTCTGCATGCATAAATAAAGCTGCGCATTTTAATGACTGATCAATTAGGTATCTGATCCAACTTTAAAAGCACAATTACCGACGTCACAGCCGATTGACCGCAGCCTACATTGTCCGTAATTAACTAGATATTGGATAAACAAGCTTATTGCGTATGCGGTATAATATGAAGATCATAATTTAATAAAATGTCGTACTAAAATATTAAAATTTTTGAAATTTAATAATGGTAAGTACTTGTGAGAGTAAATAGTTTTTAATGAAATGATAAAAATATTTAAGGAAGCATCAGCATCATAAAGATGAATACCTGTTCTAATAGGTCTGGTATAATCTCAAGAGTTTCAAAGACCTTTAAATTTTAAAGAATAGAAAAATATAATGAAAGTATAAACTATACTATAATAGAAAAATTTTAAATGTAGGCAATAGCAAAAACTAATTGTAATTTTGTCCTATAATGTCCTACAATTGTATATTGACAGAAGAAATTTATCGTTTTTTTTGCTGTTCACTCAGATAAAATGAATAAAGATGATTCGCACTGCGGGTTTTTCCGATAAGATCGCAGAAACGTTTACATTGTGTAATGTTAGTGGAGCTCATTTCATGCGCATTACAGTGATATATAAGGTTAAGTGGAATACTGTTGGTACTTCGATACCCTCTACTTATATGAATATTTTAAATGGATATGGGTATTTATTTTTAAATGACCTACATGCTATGCAAAGACCTCAGCATATAAATTGCATCATTGTATATAATATAGCTCTAAAGGTGTAAAATATAATATTGTTTTGACTAATTTTACATGGAACTTAGTAAAAGCTTTTTGACACTTGTAATTAAATATTTCTAGGAAATAATGTATGATGAAATAACGAGTTTGGTTAATTTCGAGAAAGTTTGATTTGAGACAAAATGGAAGTATCATGACTAGTAAAATCTATATACACATTAAATATTTTTTGGAAAATCTTATTGAAATAGACATTATTATCGAGACAAGGACCAAATCTATAGTTTTTAGAATTTTTGTCTGTCTGTCTGTCTGTCTGTTACCGCATCACCGAAAAACTACTGGAAGGATTTTGATGAAATTTCGTATGGTCATAGCTGGTTATCCGGATCAACGTATAGGGTACTTTTTACCGCGGGAAAATGTCTCATTTCTGAGAAAAAATACAAAAACTGCAATATAAGAGTATACTAACATGTAAAACCTAAGAATTTGGTTTTTGGCCATTTGAACGCGGGTGGAGCCGCGGGCAATGCTACTATAATATAATTTTAAAGACTGAAAAACGCATCTTTTAATGAAAGTCTAATGAAATGACATCTAAAATCGGCAATAAGTTGATCAATGCAGTCGTTTCGCGCCAAAGTATCATGACGTGCTCCGCGCTCTCATAGAATCACTTGAAAAAAATCCATGCACTTAGTGCTGAAATAAGCGCGCCTTTCGACCGCATTCACTTTTAGCGATGTAGTTTTTCTCCTTTTACACCCTCCACACCCATTCTCCCATCGGCATTCACCATCTCTCTCTGGCATCGCATCTCCTCAACTCTGTTTTATTCGCTTTAGCATTCGTGACACAAAGCAATATGTGAGTTGACTTCACTGTTACAGTTCTTGTTTGAGTTGCGATTTAATGCCTCCTTAAACTGAGATGGTTTACGGGTTAACCCGCCTGAAAGGGTTGAAAGTATCAGCAGTTATTTACTTTTTGGATCCGTTCAATATAAACTTTAAATCCTTTGAAGACACTCGCGTCATTAGACATAGAAATGGATAAACTTTACCCTTAGACAGTCGAACGTTAAAAAATCATTTGAATCAGAATTCTATTTTAGATAACGCTATCAACTGGCTGGTTTGAAATAAAAAATCGACGCTTTGATTTATTATAGCTTCTACTTTTATATAAACTGAATTTTTAAATTTCTTTAATATACCTATGCTACTTAGGCAGCAATAAAAGTTACTAAGCAACAAAATTTCAAAGTCTACATAATTTCAATAAAATGGATTGACCCAAACCTGCAAATCTCCTGCTGATTAAACTTTCCCCACTCATCTGAAAACAATTTGGTGAGAAAAGTACTGAGATTAAGGACTAATCTATATTTGTCAATGAAACAAGCATCAGTACGGCCACAACTTGTCCAATTTACATGACGAAGGTGGCGATATCGCAAAAGAAAGTTTTCGACAACTTTTATCAGATCCGCCCACTGCGGCTGATAAGTTGTACTGAACTTTATTTACCAACCCTAAACGATGGTCCAATCCCATGGAGATAGAAAAACTTTTTAAATTATTTTTTAATTTAAATATCTTATTATATATATATATATATATATATATATATATATATATAATAAAATAACTTAATATATAAATAATATCAAACAATTCAAGTGGGAACAGAAAAGAAATAAAACCGTTTTGCTTTCCAACCTCGGGGAAAATTTAATTAAATTACCCCTTAAGTTTAATTTTATCAGAGTTCTTACCTAATGGTTTTATGTTCCTTCACTCCGTTTTGAAACCATACAAAATTAGTGACTTTACTGTTGAAATAAATTATTTTATATTGAACATATTGTGTAATCATAAATTGTATATTATCTTGGTATTTACTTTAAATAAGTAAAATTTGAAACACAACACCAAAATCGCCATTTTATACTCAATAAAGAATCCATTTCCATGTTATGTAGACATTGGCTTACAAACTCTCAAACTGGCTCCGAGGGACTAGGATTAGGCAATTCCTACAGCAGACTACGTATTACACGAAGAGATTTAAACTGAATTAACCGTTCGATCGGAAAATTGGAATGCCACACAGATAATTACCTGACACTCACAGAAAAGGAAGTCTCTTAGAACGAAGATTCAAATAAGCGTGGTCGAAGGACCAAGTGATGCGAGCAGCCCTAGCCTTTATCACGCAAAAATAACTTGTACTGAGATACCTTACGATTTCTGAAAATAAAAATAACTAATTTAATATTAGTAGTATAATTTAAAATTAAATTCTGGTGTTTATGTGTTATTCATAACTTTAATATTTAAAATTCAACTTCTATTTTGTATACTTTGTTGAAAATAATCGTGACATTTTATGACGTCGTAAAACATTTGCAATAAAAGTAATTGGAAATGTAAGTTGTGTTCAAATCAATCAAAAAGTCTTCATTTAATTGAATTTTAAATATCAACCACAAAATCACACATATTTATCCAATATTATAATATTATGTCATTAATTATATGGGCGTTATTTTACAGTATATGCCTGTATCATTACACAAATGGTAAAAGGATAATATTTTATATTCATTACAATTTAAATTAATCAATCACAGTGATCGATCGTGTTTTAGCACAAAAATTTCGAATGGATTATATGTGGGCTCATTCCTACAAGACTTTCTATAGATTACACGATTTGGCAACCGATTGGCAACAAGCTCGACAAATGTGTGATGCAGAAGGCACAACATTACTCATACCAGACACTCTGGATGAAATAGAGAACTTAAAGTTACTAATGAGTAATATGAAGGCACACTATACCGCTATATTCGTAGGGATTCATGATAAATTTTCCGCAGGATACTACGTTACAGTGAGAGGTAAATATTTTTAACAATATTGAATGTTTTAGTAGATTTTTTTTCTTCTTTAGAGCAACTCAATATGTTAATTTGTTTCCAGGAGAACCAATCAGTGGAACTATTTTAGAGCTCCTTTGGGCGGAGGGTAGACCAAATAATGTCAATGATACAGAACATTGTGTCGTTATGACAAGAGAGGGCTTGTTTGATGATAGACCTTGCTCCGATATTTATCCATTTGTTTGTAAAATCTTTGGAAATGAAACTAAATATAATGAGGCATGTGATAATTTTGACGCAGGTTGGTTCGTTATTATTTGATATTATGATACTTTTATTTGCAAGCTAGATTTATTTTATGCTATAATTCATATATGTTATGTACATAACTTCGCCCTTCTGAGTGCGAAACAAATATACATATGTAATATTTATAATGAAAATTATGATTTCTGTATTAAAGTGTTAATTTATAATAGGCTACGTAGCTCATCAAGCCATAAGTAGTAAATGCTATAAGTTTCACGCGGAGCCATTGTCTTGGTATGATGCCTACTTGGCTTGTAAATTGGAAGAAGGACGTTTAGCTATTATCAACTCAGCAAAAGAAGCGAATATAATAGTCGGCTTCCTTGGAGAACATTTGAATAGTAATGCTCCAGATCATAATATTTTATATCTCGGTTTTAGCGACCTTATGTTTCCTTATCAATACAGAACCATAGAAGGTAATTCAAACTGTTCTTTATTTTATTAGTACAATAGCATAATACTTTCTTAGATTTACGCGAATATTTGACATTTTAAATAAAACTATCTTTTCGGATTTTGTCGCGGATTTATTTGCATTTTTGTTTCCCGACGTTTCGAATGCTTTACAGCAATCATGGTCACGAGAGAGACTGAGGTGTTTGTTACATGTAATACATTGTTCGTACAAATAACTGGTGCAATTTTCATTTTGTTATATTCAAGTTCAATAGCATTTTTTTAGTAGTATTAAGTTAACGTTACAATAATAAAATTTTGTTCAAATAAGAGGCGTAAAACTTATATTTTATTTCACTCAAAAAGAGCTAAAATATGGACGTAGCCATATTAATATGTGCTGTACGTTTAATTAACAAATTTTAGACAGTAAAATGGAAAACACCCATACAAAACTTGCAGTTATTTCTTTTAGATATTAACCATATCTCAAACAAATGACTGCAAATTAACCCTTCAAAGAACAAATTATGTAATAAATGAAAAATCTTATGCCATACTGTAGAAAATTATTTAAACTTGGCCAAAAATTTTAAATTTCATAACATCATTGTGCTTATATAAATATATATGTATTCCAATTATGCTACAGGTCAAACCCTAGACGACGCCGGCTACGCGTCTTGGAGCCCCACCAAAGAAGATAATAAGGCAACTAAAGTGAAACGGTGCGGTGCTATTTCTAGGACAGGCTTTCTTCAAATGACATTTTGTGAACGACCGGCTATGTTCCTATGTGAAAGAATCTTGAACACTTCTACAAAACAGAAATAGAAACAGTATATTATTTTATGTTTAGAATTATTTCTAACTAGCTGCCCCAACAGATGTTGCCCCAATATGAATAAACTTATTATATCTTTGATTTCGTATAAAAATTGTATATACAAAAGTACTTTCAAATTCTTTCGAGTTTACTTACCAATTTTTCGAGTAACTAACCCAAAAAGTTTTCCTTATTACCAAAATAACCAAATCGTTTCATCCGTTCTCAAGCGATGCGATTACCACGTACAGCATTTCGTTTTTATAGCTAAACTAGCATTGCCCGCGGCTCCGCCCGCGTTCAAATGGCCAAAAACCAAATTCTTAGGTTTTACATATTAGTATACTCTTACATTGCAGTTTTTGTATTTTTTCTCAGAAATGAGACATTTTCCCGCGGTAAAAAGTATCCTATATGTTGACCCGGATAACCAGCTATGACCATACCAAATTTCATCAAAATCTCTCCAATTGTTTTTCTGTGACGCGGTAACAGACAGACAGACAGACAAAAATTCTAAAAACTATAGATTCGGTCTCTGTATCGATAATAATGTCTATTTCAATAAGATTTTCCAAAAAATATTTAATGTACAGATTCGACTCAATCAGAATTTTATTATATGTATAGATGGATGATTTAGTTAGTTACATAATACGAGTATTTACATCTTAATAATTATATTTTAATGCATAACTTAAGTGCTAAATTTACATAAACGTCGTATTACAAGAGCTCGTATTACTTATTAGTGGTAGTTAATGTCACTCGTCATGACCTCTCATCGGATTCTGCGTTGTGGAACTGACAGGCATCTGACGTTTGACGATAATATGTGCGCAATATACATTTAAAACCAGTGGTGCGCGCCACCCGATGAATTGCGACTTTGTCGATTACCACCACGAATTGAACGTAGTTAATAAGCGTGAAATGTTTTCATTGTTCGTTTTAAATGCCTTTTTAATCTAGTGTTTATATTTTTTGTTTAAAACACACATGCCTATTATCTATCTATACATATAATAAAATTGTAACTAAGTCGGATCTGTACATTAAATATTTTTTTGGAAAATCTGATTGAAATAGACATTATTATCGATACAGAGTCCGAATCTATAGTTTTTAGAATTTTTGTTTGTCTGTCTGTCTGTTACTGCATCACGGAAAAACCACTGGAGGGATTTTGATGAAATTTGGTATGACGATAACTGGCTATCCGGGTCAACATATAGGATACTTTTTACCGCGAAAAAATATGTCATTTCTGAGAAAAAATACAAAAACTGCAATTTAACAGTATACTAATATGTAATACCTAAGAATTTGGTTTTTGGTCATCTGAACGCGGGCGGAGCCGCGAGCAATGCTAGTAAATTTTATAAATTACATTATCAAGTATATGTTCAAATAGATTTGTCATGAATATGTAGTTATCAATTATGTATAATTACGGCACTCCCCCGTTTATCTGTAACTTAAATATTGGATACCGAAAAGTTTACGTATGAACTTGAACAATTAGGTTAGTTTGGAACGAGGTAGCCCATGATTAGAGGGATGTCCGTTATCCTCGCTCGCGGCAACTGTCGAACATTGTTTCTAACAAATCAGGTAGGTTATACAACTTGCCATATAATATGATAGAAATATGTAATCTCACCGTTTTCAATCTATTGGTAATTCAGAAAATATAAGTACATGTTATCTAGATGTTCAAATAATAAGTAAAATAATAGACAAGTACCAGACAACCATCGAATATTTTTTTGTATTTTGTAGTATTTGTTTCAAAGAACTATAAAAAAATATTTTTTAAAACAACTGAAAATACCAAGTAATTCAAAAATTACTTATAGTATTTTTTCCAAACAATTCTCATAGAGTTATTTTTAAAATTACTCTCTTTTCAGGAGGAAGGGAGGCAGAATTTTATAAGCATATAAAGCATATAACTTCATAAACTTTTGTTTCAATCCTCGCACTCTATATATCAATGTATTTATGATGTTCTCCTAGCCGATTTCGGCCACGGCGGCCAATCTCAATGAGATTAGCCAACTGCGCAGGAGATATTATAGTGCTCAAGTGTACGCGCAGACACAAGTGCACTCTCTATTCCTATCACTCTCATACTCCGGTAGGACGACCACTCGACACGACCGGTGAGAGTTAAGGCGCAGGACCGACGGCTTTACGTGCTCTCCGAAGCACGGGGGTGAAACACCGCCAACTTCCCAACTCCGGGCTGTTACTGAGACTTACTATACAGGAAGACTCAATAACTAAACTTGGCCCGACCCGGGACTCGAACCCAGGACCTCCGGGTGTGTAGCCGTACATGCTAGCCACTACACCACCGAGGCAGTTAAATGTATTTATAGTATATATATGGGGATGCAAAACAAGTTGAAAAACTTATTCATCATGGCTAACATACTGCATAAAAATGTAAACTATAATAGAATGACAGCTAGATGGAGCAACGGTAAAAACAGGTAACAGTTGGCAAAAAGAGAGCAAGCAATAGAAAAGGAAAAACTGGGAATGCTAAGATATTGAGGCCAATGGCATACATATTATAAATTTATACATACTATATTAATATTATCTATACATATAATAAAATTGTAACTAAGTCGAATCTGTACTTTAAATATTTTTTGGAAAATCTAATTGAAATAGACATTATTATCGACACAGAATCCGAATCTATAGTTTTTAGAATTTTTGTCTGTCTGTCTGTTACCACATCACGGAAAACTGGAGGGATTTTGATGAAATTTGATATGATGGTAAAGGGTTATCCGGGTCAACATATAGGATACTTTTTACCGCGGGAAAATATCTCATTTTTGAGAAAAAATACAAAAACTGCAATGTAAGAGTATACTATATTATGTAAAACCTAAGAATTTGCGGAGCCGCGAGCAATGCTAGTATTAATATAAAGAAGTAGACTAAAACTGAGGATGATAATGATAACAATGATGACCTCACATTGTCGTAACTTTTATATTTAATTGTTACATATTTTTAAGTTATATGTTAGTACCCAATATGATTTAAATATAAAATTAAAACTTTTTAAGCTTTTCATAATAGGATATCAAAGAGCTTTAACAACATAAAATAGTTTGAAAATGTGTTGATTAAAACGCATTTCAATATAGCGCTACTAAAATAATATGGGATTACAGATTTTTTATTAATAACTTAGATACATTTTAAAATAATTTATTGAAATTGAAATTTGAAATGAAATTTATTTATTTAGTATCAAATTCCTATAAGTATACAGTATTTATTGCAAAAAACCATACATAATTTTACTTTTGTAAAATTTTATTTACTTTTTATGTTTTAAAGATTTTATTCTTAACACCTCCAGGTAAATTTCTAAGAAATTCATAAAAATTCTAAGAAATCTATTGTTAACTGACACGCCGGCGTATCCGCGGTCGTGGAGAGATTAGAATAAGAGAATGTAAATTGTATGCAAAATTAAATACAGTATAATGTATTGTAGCTTACCTAAACACAACACACGGTAAACAGCTGCCTTAGTTTACTTACAGGTTCATTAAGAGTTAATTGTGAATATCAAACATCGTTGGCATTAATGTAGCAATATTATTCGTTATTCGTTGGTACAATTAGGCGACCATCCCCTCGGGTTGTAATGAATAAGCTACTATCACAGCGTATTGGTTCACAGCAATATTAATTAACAAATGCATCGCCGTACCAGAGATGTATTTTACAGTATATTGGAATGCAATTTATTATATTAATGGTTAGATTCTTTGTTAATGAATATCATTTTAATAATAAATGTCGATTACAAATTTATATATAATCGAAATATATATATATATATATATATACATATGTTATAGGTCAGATATGGTCAGATATGATCAGACTAGCAAAACCTTTTTTGCTATATATTATGTACTTTAAGCTAATTTATACTTAAAACTAACTTACACCTTGTACTAATTCAAAACTAACTTGAAACTGTACTCAATGTTGTTGAGTTGCAATGCCAAATGATCAGGCCGACGTCTTTTCGAGCTCATCGAGACACGGGGATGAAACACCGCCAACTTCCCAAATCCGGAGTTACTGAGAATTTCTTGAAAGAAAAACTTCATAACTACCTACTAATTTTATACTTAATTTTATACTTGGTCCGACCCAGCACTCGATCCCCAAGCCCTCCGGATATATGCAGCCGTACATACTAACCACTGAACCAAAGAGGAAGGAGGGATACTAAAAAGCAGTTAAAGAAATTAAAAAAGCAACAGTCAAGCTATAAAAATAGTTTAATCATTAACTGACGATGATGAAAAGTTATAATTTAATACATTATTGATAGTAACTTATCTATAGCTTTTATTATTTGTATTAAAAGTTGATGGAACCACCTGCATTAAGCAGCTTATACGAGCGCTTGACGGTCGCTTTTGAGTTAAATTTTATTTGATTGCAAGCCTGTCACGACAACAGGCTGATTGATGTATTGCCCTGCCCGTAGTCAAAGATGAAGCAATTAATGCATGGAGATGGTATGGTTTTGTTTACTACATATAATATTATTAATAATGATTTTTCTTACTTTATTTATTACTTGTATATTACATTCGAACTCCTCCTCATGCCTAATAAGTTATTTGTTATTGTTTATTATTATTATTCATATTAATAAAATAACATTATTTAAATGTACATAATACGTATATTAATGGTCCAAGATCTCAGAGACCCAGCCTCCCCCCCCCCCCCCCACTCGTTACAAATTAACGAATATGATACTCCCCTATGTGTTCAAGAATGAATGCTTACTCGCTAGCTTGGCTAGACGGCCCGTATACAAGTAACAGGTAAGAAAGGTACGCAAAAATACAATTTACTTGTTTTATATGTTTTATAGAATATTATGAAAAATAAATAACTTCCGCCAGACGCTTCAAATCTCATAAAAAAATTATGAAACTTT